CAATCAACCAATCAATCAATCAATCAACCAACCAATCAAGCAATCAAGCAATCAACCAACCAATCAACCAATCAATCAATCAAGCAAGCAAGCAAGCAATCAATCAAGCAATCAAGCAATCAAGCAATCAAGCAATAAATCAAGCAATCAATCAACCAATCAACCAATCAACCAATCAATCAATCAACCAACCAATCAAGCAATCAAGCAATCAAGCAATCAAGCAACCAATCAACCAATCAACCAACCAATCAAGCAATCAATCAACCAACCAACCAATCAACCAATCAACCAATCAATCAATCAAGCAATCAATCAAGCAATCAAGCAATAAATCAAGCAATCAACCAATCAATCAATCAATCAACCAACCAATCAAGCAATCAAGCAATCAACCAACCAATCAACCAATCAATCAATCAAGCAAGCAAGCAAGCAATCAATCAAGCAATCAAGCAATCAAGCAATCAAGCAATAAATCAAGCAATCAATCAACCAATCAGCCAGCCAACCAATCAATCAATCAACCAACCAATCAGCCAACCAATCAATCAATCAATCAACCAACCAACCAATCAATCAATCAATCAACCAATCAGCCAACCAACCAATCAACCAACCAATCAGTCAATCAATCAATCAACCAACCAACCAATCAATCAACCAACCAACCAATCAGCCAACCAACCAATCAACCAACCAATCAATCAATCAGTTCTGAACATCATGAAGGAGATTCAAAGGAATCAATTCACAGATGATTCCTTCACCGATTAGCGTGCTTAGTAAATGCTTTCTATTCTTACCAATAAAGTGCACAAATCACATTATTGAATTGTATAATTGTGATTTCCCACCTGAATTCATCAAGCATCACTGAAGAAATCAAAGGTTCTGCTCTGAATCAGGTGAAAAGGTTGCATTCGATGATTTAGTAAAGTGACAGTAACTTATTAAAGTTTGTAGCAGTGCTATTTTAGTATCAATGAGATACTATTAGTTTTTGTTAATATTTTGAATTGGTTTTTCTTTTTATATTTTCTGTTCGCATGTTAATTTTAGTTAAAGTTTTAGTAATTTTGTTGTGAATTTGCCAATTTTATTAGTTTTTTTTATATATGTCTATATAGTTTTTATTAATTTATTTCAGTTTTAGTTATTTTAGTACATCTAGTTAAATGAAAATGAGAAATGCTGCTTTGGCAACTAGCTGAAAAAAAATAAGTTTACATTTTTTATATTTTATTCTATTTCAGCTAACGTTTATTTTAAGAAACAAATTTTTTTTGTGGTTTTAGTTTAATTAACTCTAACCCTGATACACATTATTTGAGGAATAATTATTTTACATCTGTAGCAGTGTTATTTTAGTATCATTGAAATACTATTGTAGTTTTTATTAACAATTAGAGTTAGCTTTTATTTTGTTTTCATTTTAATTTGAGTTAGTTTTAATAATTGCATGCTTTTCTCATGTTTATTACTAGTTTTTACTAATCTTTATTTCAATTTCAGTTTCAAGTTTTAGATATTTTCGTCCATCAAGGACGCTTTTATTTTTAAATGTCGGTATAGTTTTTATTAATTTGTATTTGAGTTTTAGTTATTTTAGTACATCAACTTAAACTTGAATGAAAATGACAAATGTTGCCTTGGCAACTATCTAAAATAAAATTACGTTTTTTATATTTTAAGTAACAATTTCTTCATGATTTCAAGTTTTAGTTAATGATAATAACCTCTATCAGCACAACTAGTAAAACAACTAGTGGACATTAACTTAAAGGACTTAAATGAAGGTGAATAAACGACTCTCTAATCAAGCAAGAAGACCGAGACGGATGTGAAACCCACAGCACCTTTAATACACGTGTAAAATGCATGACATATAAAAACAGGTTCATTAACGCCTAATAATAAATACAAATCATCTCACAGCTATAACTTAACGATGTCTCCAAGTTTATGGCCCGTTAAGGTGATCTGTCCTGAGAGCTGGAACTCCTGCTTCAAGAAATTCCCAATATATTCAGAGTAGAAGACGTCACAGTAGAGCCAGATCTGAGCCAGCGCTCTCTGGTAGTTAGCGTTGCATGTGGGCAGTCGTGAGCGTCTGATGGCTCGGTTCAGATCCAGCCAAAGCTCCTCCATGCCGCGAGAGCCACAGTTCCGCTCACACACCACCCACCTGACTCTCTGACGGAGGTGCAGTGCGTGTTTCTCCACGGTCTTCCGGAACAGTCTTGAGAAGGAGCGTGTGATCTTCAGCGGCGCGCTTCTGTCTGCGATCGCGCACCACGAGCGTTTGAATCTCTTGGTTTCATCGCTCTCAGCCGGTTTCCTCTGGTCTGAAGTGTCCGCCGGTTCCTCCAGACGCAGCCAGACGCTCTGCAGATCCTCGGAGGAGATCAGAGGAGCAGGTTTGAGGGGTCTGATGGGTCTGTGGGCGTCAGACGCTGACGGGAACCAGGGTTTGAATTGGGGCAGGACTCTGCTGGGAAGCTCCTGCAGGACTGTGTGTGTGAGGAGAACCACGTCTCTGACCTCCAGCGGCGGACGGAAATACACACTCACATCCTCACAACACACAAGCAGAGACAGGAGTGTTAAATATACAGCGGTAGGGTTGCAAAGGGGTGGAACATTTCCAGGTAAATTTCCAGAAACTTTCCAAAAATCCCTGGAATGTTTCCGAAATTTACTGGAAATTTTCCACCTTTTTGCAACCCTATACATCAATAAGAAGTGAATAAATAAATAAAAAATAAGACAAAATAATATATCATCATCTTATGTCTGTTAATAAAAAAATACAGTACAAATATAAAAAAAATATATAGAAATAATACTTTCTAGTTAATTAAAGTGATCAAAAGTGACAGTAAAGACATTTATAATGTTGCAAAAGATTTCTATTTCTAATAAATGCTGTTTTTTTAACTTTCTATTCATCTGTGAATCCTGAAAAATAAAATGTATCACAGTTTCCACAAAAATATTAATGTTTTCAACATTGATAATAATCAGAAATGTTTCTCGAGCAGAATATTATACTGATTTCTGAAGATCATGTGACACTGAAGACTGGAGTAATGATGCTGGAAATACAGCTGCGCATCACAGAAATAAATTACAGTTTAACACATATTCACATAGAAAACAGCTGTTTTAATTAGTAAAAATATTTCACTATTTTTACTGCATTTTTAATCAGATAAATTACAAAACAAATACTAAACTAAAATTATTTCTACATTTTAACCAGCTAATAACTTATGTACACACTATACAAAATATGTATGTACTGTACAAACAAGATAATCTATATACAGCAAAGAAAAGAGGTAGAATATGTTAAAATAAACTAAACGCTGCTAAATGACTAAACGTAAATGTAAAAGTATAAACAGTGTGTCGAGTATTGCACGTTTTTGTTTTGTTTTTTAACACATGAAGAGAAAACACACAAAACTAACACATTATATTCAAAATAAATATATTCTAACAGGTGGTAATGTGGAATTAAATGAATTAAAATACTAAACTATTAAACTGAAATGACATAAAACGCTTTATCATATGAGAAGCTGAAAACATCAGCGTTTATATGAACTGGCTTCTCAGCGGGTTTGTGAAAGCGTCCGTCAGTTCCTCTGTTACTCACCTTCACATCCTGCGACATATTTCTCGATCTTTATGAACATGTTATCGAGTTTTGTGAACATGTTAACATGCTAACTGCAGCTAGCTAACGCTCTCCGGACCGACAGGCGGCGCGGTGACGTCACGACGCGCTCACAGCTGACCAGCGGAAGTAGACGCGCGCCGCCGGAAGTGTCGTGTTCACAGAAACACTATTCAGCGTTCCGCTTCCAGTCGTTTAACGCGAATTACACTGAAGAGAAGCTGCAGATATGGCGCATTTAACGACAAACCCGGCGGATAAAGAGCGGTCAGTTTGACGGACACTTACAGTTCACTACTTTATATTTCTGATTACATCTGTAACACTATTTTACTGCAAAATTCAGTGGAGCTCCATGTAAATACTCACTCAGATAATCACTCAGTGCTGTGTGTGTGTGTGTGTGTGAGTGAGTGAGTGAGTGAGAGAG